AAATGTTGTTAGTAAGGACTTGAAAAGTCAGACTGAAAAATTTCATCGCAGTCCCCTAAGACATTGGTAACAATAGAATACAATAAAATACAAAAAAGACATTCAAATTCCATCAGAAAATTTTTTCATTATTCAGCAACTGTAATAAAATAATAACGATAGGAGCAACATGGGAAAATGATTGCTCAGAGAATTGTCTTCGTTTGGTAAGGAGAAATGCATCACTATTGTTTGCCGTCACGTAAACCGTTCTCTCAGAAGCTTTTAGAGCGATCGATCGTCAAAGGGATCATTCCGTGCGACGAAAAGAATTTAAGTTAAAAATCTTGTTGATAACTGAACAAATCATAGATTTTTGAATAAAGTTGGCTCATTTGAATAAACAATCCGCAGTGCTTCAAGATACCATGCTTCCATGGGGTCTTCTATGGTAACGTTAAGCTCACAATCGGACTTTTACTTAGGCTGAGACTGATATCGAGCATTTTGAGCTTCTCAATGTACTATCCGTATCTCTCCCTTTAAAAATAGAGAATTTATTAAAAGAAAGCGATATTTTGAAAGTACATTCATTCACTCATCGCATAAGCTAGAATAAACAACACGATTTGTGAGTTATCAAAAAGAACATATTATTTCTCAGGTAATTACTTATACTACGGAATCTCATTTTTTGATTTGCGCACAAATTTCATGATATAAAGCGATGAATACGTAATGATTTAACTGAAAACATTTTGGAACCCAACGAATTCACGTACAATTTCAGCTAATGAACTACTTAATAATTTCTAATATCACCACCAACAACACTAAATTCAAAGTAATGTGCTACAGCCGGCTGCTACGAATGTGTGTGTCTAACCTATGCGCTCATTTACATCAATTCATTTATTCACCGTGTTTACAGTTTTGTTCTCATCGTCATCCACATTCGTTATCTGCCGCAGTCAGATGGACGATTGATTGCGTGCATTTTATTTATTCAGCAGTCGCAGAAACGAAACAAACACACAAACGATTGCCTATATTCATTCGTTTGGTGATATCATTTGCGATATCGTGCTCCGTTCATTAATGAATGAATAAAAGCATGAATAAGCTCAATAATAAAGTTCCACTGAACTGTTATTAACGGCCGACGGTCATGTGAAAATGAATGAAAAAAGGTTTCAATAGAGCCACACGTTTAATTGCTGTTCTCTCCGATGAGAAACCTAACTGCTCTAGAAGTGATCAAAAAACAGACCTTGCATGATCCTTAATAGAGAATTTGAAAAATCTTCTTGGGAAAAACGTCGTATCCGGTGTTTGAGAACAGGAAAGTAGTGAGTGCGCTTTCGCTTCTTTCTCTCCTTAAAAAATTTCTAGCGATTCATCCATAACTTTACTTGATGGAGCAAAATGTTANCTGGAATTGTGAAACTTTCAGGCACTGTATGCAAGGCAAAAACGCTCTTCTCAGCCCACAACCACAATGTTCTCGTGGAACAAAGGTTGCAAATTTTTATCATTTAATCAATTTCTATGCAAAAATTCAGTTCAAATTTCTATCGTCTGATATGAAGAATCGACGAAAAAGTCACCCAGACACATTATATGAGCACTCCTAGTGAATTTAGTGCTATTAATTAATTTTCCCGAATTGTAGTATGAATTATCACTGAAATAGAATAGCTAGATCGTTAAGCATCGCATTTAGGCTCCAGTCACTATATCATGAAGCGTTAAAATCATCCTGCTCAATGAATGTCGTAAAGCAATTTATTTCCGTGTTCGTGATCGTTTGAACTGTTGAAAAAGGAAGAAAATTGAGGGAAATTAGTTTCATTATGGCAGGAAATATAAAGTTTTGGAAAAAATCACGATGAATAGAAATCGTCTGAAAATACTGACTTCGCAAGTTGTACGTAGTCTGTGTCTTATTCACGTGTGCGCATATTCAAGTTTTTTAAATCAAATTTCGCATCGAAAGGCATCCGAATTTAAAAAGCTCTAATGTGTGAAGTGAATGGGGAATCATTTTGATATTGTTTTGTCGACAAATTATGTCTCGAAACAAGTCACAATTGTTGTAAACAATGCCTCAAAATGTGCTCAGTTTGAGCGATAAGTGGATATCACTTAAAGACTATTGCAAATGATTGAGTGCATCCGTGACGGTAATGCATCGGAAGCTTCAAAATTGATTTCATGACTAGAATGGGTTACTGATATGTCAATCATTTTGAGTAGTTATTCCGAATTTTTAATATAATTAGACGGATACACTACGAAAAAATTATTGCCTGAGATATGCTGTGTAGAATGGAATGCTTGACNTCATTAGACAGTGATTAGTTCTTCTTAAAGTTATGAATAAAAAATGAACATTTGCAAGACATTTGCAGATAATCTGGATGAAAACGAAACTAACTGCATTTTGAATTCAGAGACAATGATCATTCGGAAGGATAAATTGAACTAAAGACGATTTGCAAAAGCCCTTACTTCGTCAGAATTGTTTTGCAGAGAATTTCAGCAAAATGAACAAACGCACTGTTGCCTCTTTTCAAATGTTTAGCATTATTTGCCAATTTCAAAGGAATATTTACGCGAAATCGAGTTGAACAAAAGAAAGATCATAAGGTATTGACAGCTGGTCGCGAATATAGTGATGAAATGAAAGCGTAATGCTGAACCAGTCGGATTTCAGCTGAGGCAAGTCCTGTGAAAACGTCTTCATCGAGTAAGAAAAAAGACGAAGAAAAAGAAAAGAAATTCCTTGGACGATTATGCTACTCACTGGAATACGATTTCGATAAAAATGCTGTACGCTTCAAAATGTGTTTCGTTTTCCTTTTTTTTCAAAATTCTTACTATGAATCATATCAATTCATCCATCAATGCATCTTTTTATCTTAATGAACGATTAGTCCACACTAGTGTTGTGCGGGGAGAGAAAAATAAGTCTGGGACGGGGATAGTCGGGGACATTTCAGGAACGGGGAGAGTCCCCGAAAATGGCCACCGCTTGAAAATGGTCGGGGATGGGGGTGGGAATTGGGGGACGGGGACCCCGAATTCGGGGGCTCCCGCACAACACTATTCCTCACTATCAAATGAATGCTTTCATTGAGTGCAATTGAGAAATTTTATCTTTCCGTTACGATTCTCATTTACAAGGTGGTTTTCAGTTGATTGTGAGCAAGTAAATGAAATTGAGCAATTGAATTGCTAGAAAAGAACAAAATTTTACCTGCAGTTGTAGACCAAAGGATGAAAAATGGTTGAAGATTTTGGAATTTTTTGGCGGTGAACGTCTAAAATCTCATTTCTGCACACATTGCATATTTGAGCAGTTTGTCATATTTTTTTGATTCGATTGAATTTGATGATTGCAGTTGACAGTAACAATTATCAGTGCATCCGATCTACCAGCAATGGATTTGGGCGGTACGTCTGATCCATACGTTAAGGTGTTTCTTCTGCCTGACAAGAAGAAGAAATTTCAAACAAAAGTTCAGAGGAAGTCGTTGAATCCGGTCTTCAATGAGAGTTTCGTCTTTAAGGTTCACTTTAACCGCATTTTGCCAAAAAGTGTCATTTCTTTCGTTGATTGGAAAATTGTTTTGTTTATTTTTGTTGAATCTATTTTTGTTGAATTATAATAACTTTCGAAGAAAGGCAGATCTTTCAACAATCCATCACTGAGTTTCAGCTGAACCAAAATTATCCCCTTGTTTCTGAAAATGTTGA